ATACTCGTCCATATAAGTGTACGGAGGATGATTGCAAGGTTAAAAATTTCGCCACGGTGGGGGATCTAAAGCGCCACCAACGTAGCCTCCATGGGAATCGAATCTATACGTGTCCGCTTCCTTCGTGCAAGCGCTATCGGCATGGTTTCGGTAGAAAGGATAACCTGACTGATCACATGAAACGCAACCACATGACCGGCCAAGACCAGTATCAACAAGAAACAATAGCAAGGGCCTCGGAAGATCGAAATTCTGTAAATGAATCCATAGATGAGAGCTACCTAGAAGATGACAGGGTATCTTCTCAAAGTATCCTAAAAGAAATTAGAAGTTCTTCTAGTGGGGAGACGGCTTCTTTGACTATAAAGTTGAGAGAGCTTAAAGAGAGAAGGGCCACATTGGGCAGGGAGACGCAACAATGTGACAAGCAGATTGCTGCTATGGAAATTGTTTTAACGATTATTTGAAATTGCAGATCATGGAGTTCTAGCGTTGTACATCTAAAGGCTTATATTCCATACTATTCACCTTTTTTTTTGGGGGAGCAACTAGGTATCCACAAAACATATTTGAGAATTTCAAACCAAAAGACTAGTTCTCTCACGCGTGAAATTTTTGTTAGACCAAAGTGTCCTTATCACGAACATAGATCTAGGGAAAATTCCGCCAGCAAAGTTAGTTGGATAACTGTGGGGATACACGAAGCGAGGAACAGATACTATGTATTTGCTAGGTCTACGAGTGGAATCCACATAAGGTAGGTATCGCTGACTAACCAATGTGTGAGGTTCTAGGTGAAATCCAAGGAAGGCTGTCCTTGGACAATAACACTTGAAAGTCGAAGTATTTCCCAAAATATTGCGTCAAAAGATTGGTGGGGAGGAAAATACCGAGTTCAGCCATACAAGAATGATAAATAGTAACCACTTCTAGGAGGTGATCCAATTCCTAACAAATCCAATGTCAGGTAGATGATAAACCAATGCCACTTTCCGGAAAGCCATACCGATGAAAGTGTAAAGATCTTGTAGTTTATAAATATTTGTAGTAGGGATAGGAGATAAAGAAATTTAGGGAGTGGTAGCGAGAAATTGATTCAGCTAGGTAACCCACCGGGTTACTTCATAAGGAAAGCCGGTTTTTTTGATACAGCTAGCAATCCGGGGGGGGGGTTATCATGTGATCGGGAGTTGAGAGTGATAAACAGGGGAATAGTTACCATGCAGGGAGGATGAAACAACTCACCGAAGGCAAGGAGCCGGATAATTGGAAGATAAGGTTAGATTAGGTACTGGGGAGCATCAAGGAGGTGTGGTGGGGATACGGACCGAGAAATGTTTGGAGACGGTTCAATGGCTTACATTCGTGAGCATGACTATTTTCTGCGAGGCCCTGGTGGCGTTTGTTGACGTTCAGGAGAGGACTCGCTTGCTGCTGACAGACGAGTGCGGGAAGCCGGGCGTGGGCATCTTGGTCTACGCGGACGAGGCAGGCCTCCTGATCGGTCGCATTGACAGAACCTCGATCGATCGAAGGAAATGCATGAGCCGTTTGGCCGCATTGTCAGCTCAAATATTGTTATCCAGAGTCTCTGGTTGCTCTTCCACCATTCACAGGTGTTCTGTTCTTGCGACTCAGGGGTGCCAGGGCGATACGGCAAACAGGGCGAAACAGGGCGAAAAGATATCAAGTGATGGAGACGTCTGAGAAGTCATCTTTGCAGCCTGGCCAACGATCTACTTAAGGCTGTCTATTGTCCTCCAATTCGACAATTCATCTCATCTTTATCTTGATTATCATTTTTACCCTCATCGTTGCTTACAATTAGCACACATTTGAAACCTCAGCATGCAAGCTACATCACAAGCTGTGGAGGATCCCTTTAGCTCGTAAGTCTTTGACCGTGCAAGGAAGGAACTCGCTGATTCCCCTCGAAAAGGAATGATGGATTAGCAACGAATAGCGACTTGATGGGCTTTCAGGCTGAGTACGTTTAATAAAACTCTTCTTTGAAATCGCGACGGCTAGGACTTGCGGTGGCTTGCGACCCAATAGTTGAAGATGCCTACCTAGTCATCCCTCTACGGATTTTCTTCAGTACTGCGTATATATTCTCCATGAACACTTTGGAATTCGACCTCGTGACCAAGTTCAAGATTATCTCTACGTAAGTAGTTCTTTCACCTAGTAGCATGAAAGGGTTACCGGTTTCCTAGTTTGATATTTGGTGGCACGATTTCAATCCTAGCTCTGGAATATCGCAGAAATCCAGAAATATAGAGTCCATTGCTAACCTCATATGAATAGGCGACATCCGAAACGTACATTCTAGTCATCGTTTATGATATTTTTTTCTAACTATCTTGCCACAGGACTACTGAAGACACTCCTACGGACAACCCGTCCAGGTAGAGATGCCCCGGCCGCTGTCTAGGATTCCTAGTTCTTGGACCTTTGGGGATTGGTGATCCACTAAAGTGGCCGTTCTGTACACCCCTTGGACTGATCAATCCGGCCACGACCCAGGATTTTCCTCCCTCACGTTTGAAACCAGGCAGTCTGCCAAGACTGCTGCCCTTGGAATTCCATGGATTCCCAAAACTTGCCGCCATCTTGGATTTTCTTTTAGGACTCTGTTGGAAAGGTCTTCCACAAAAGCCACTGGTCTGGGGGTGTATACGGGGCCTTAAAACCCGGCTAGCATCTGGGGTTCCATTCCTTTCTCTTCAAATGACCAACCATTCAACAAAAACGACTTTAGATCTCCAAAACTACTGTAAAATCGATAATCAAAGTTTATCTTCTAACCACATGTTGAGAAATAGAGGCTTCGAAAGAGCCATGAAAGACTCCTGCACAAAACTACTGAGAAACCATGCTGTGAAAACGACGATTGAAGTGTGTCCATTGTATAAGACTTTCCGGATGACCGGCATATGGAGTTTTCACATTTAAGTACGTTATCCGCGCTTTGCGCAATTCACTCTTTCTTTGAAATTTTGGCCATTTTTACTTCCTATCCATGGATGTTGTTCCTTTGATCTTACGATGGAATACGCCGCTCATGGAATTCCCAATATCCATGACTTTCGTTATCGACTAGAGCAATATTTCCCACCAGTTATAGGATCTCTTTTGTCTGTTTGATGTAAAAATACCAGCTGAGATTTGGACTCAGGCTGACAACTGTTCATGTAGATCTCGCTTTTGGTGCTTTCCAGATCAATCAAACCGTATGTAACCCCTGAATATCTCCCACCATAGTAATCTCATAATCTAACGTTATTTTTTTGGCTATAGATATTCCCCAGAACATCGCACTCAGTTATCAATCACTCATCGGAAATGATTTTCACGGAATGGGTGGAGAAGGTAAGCAGGTAGCCCTGGTATATGTGTGACCTACTAATATAGTCCGAAGATAACCCTTGGTCGGCCAATCTCCAGTCATCCTACTTTCTTCATCCGGGGACTACCGGATATGTCATGAACCGGTACGATACCCCGTGGCGATCAGTCCTGTGACCCTATCCGTGGCTCGTGGATTGGAATTCTTTGGAACCCCCGGGACATTTGAGAAAGTACACTTAGCTGACTTTTTTTAAAAACCATTTAGCAGCGACTCGCAAATGTCAGGCGACAATACCTCCGGGTCTCCTCCAAAGTCAAGATCTTTCACACCCAGGAGGTGCCAGAATCCTGGCTGTTCTAATACTCAACTTTTCACTCGAAATTCGACCTATAGGTAGGCCCCTAAATATACAATATATAGGAAATAGTTTCTAACGCAAGCTAGGAAGCACATGGACAAGCATGTCCGCCCCTACAAATGTTTCGAAACAAATTGCAAAACGCCAGACTTCGCATCAGCGGGAGACCTGAAGCGTCACCAACATAGCATTCATGGAAAACACACGTTCACTTGCTCAATACTTAGCTGCAAACGAAACAGGTTGGGTTTTGCTCGGAGAGACAATCTTGCCGAGCACATGAAGCGTGTTCATAAGGCTGACCACTCACCTTCACCACAACAATTTGACGAAATGAGTTTCCCATCAGGATCAATGGATGAAACCACCTCAGATAATCATAGTCCTGATCCCCAAGCCCAATCTCAAGACACCCCAGTTCCAATTACCATTGATAAAGCGTTGTTGGTTGCAACATTGGAAGAGCTCCATGTGAGAAGGGCTATGCTAGAGAAGAGAAAGATAGAGTGTGACGAACAGATTGCTGCTATGGAGAAGGTTCTTACTATAAACTAAAATTGGAAAAGCCAAAATTACCTTTCAGTAGCTATACTCATTCTGGTGCTGGGCGTTGGGGTGCAGAATCTAGCTTATTTGTGTGTATGTTGGTCAGGAGAAGCATGGCTGGCGTTGTCAAGGGTGTCTTAGTTTTTCAGTATTCATGCTTTTTACCTTCCACTATGCTTATAGTTAATATCAAGCATCGTTAGGCGTCAAGATGCTGTTGTTTAAATTTGTGACCCCTTTGACCTATTCAAGTGTTGATCGAAGTTTGTGGATCCTTCAGAAACAGATTTCACGAATTACTTCCGTAAAACTTCTAACTGACTTCCAAATAAAGCCCAAATTTTCCAAGATATTAAATAAACGTGAGAGTCCACTACGCTATCGATGAGTGCAATATGAAAGAGTTTAATCTTCCTTCAGAGGCTTGAAATATCAATCAAGGTGGTCAAGAATTTACAATTTTCATGAAAGTTTGAGATACAACAATACCAAACCCTGCCCAATGGTTCTAATTCTTAGATGATTTCTTTGAAGTGTACCAGGCAATTTCTAGCACCGTTATTTATATAGTTCTAATGCAGCCTAACTGACTCATAATTCAAACAGTACCCGAACTTCTCCCGCCCTTGTCCCCCTCCCCCGAAAATTTTCCTCCACATCCGCAAATTTTCTCCAGGCAGCCCCACTTTGACATTTTCATTCATAACACATAATAAACAAACCTCTTTCATCAAACAAAGCATCGCCCGGCTAGCTCAATCGGTAGAGCGTGAGACTCTTACAAAGTCACCTGACTAGGCATCTCAAGGTTGCGGGTTCGACCCCCGCGTTGGGCTCAATCCCCAAAGCGTTGCTTTCATTTTTTGCCGTATTTTTGCAAGCCGGTGGGTTCAATTCGGATGAGCTTCAATGGTTTTTCTGTTTTATTTTTGCGCCAACGTGAAATTCTGACTGGTTTTGATGGTATCTTGACTCCGAAAAGCTCAATTGAAAGCCGTGTATGCTCGTTCATTTCTTTCATTCTGGAAGTTTTTTGCTGCTGGTGGAGGTCACTCGCTTAGGGGTTACCACATATTTATTTGTACCCGTTACTTGCATGGGAACCTAGCAATACTGTGCAAATGGTCTATAAAATTACCGGAAGCCACCCTGAAATAACCTCAGTAATCGTGAAATAGCATGGGAAGTTCCAGTCTGTGATAAATATATGTCGTTATCTGAGGGGAGGGAGGCCATTGGTAGTTTTTATGCCCTACTAAGCAGCACTAGTCCTAGAAATCTCGTACTGCAACAAATATATGTCTCGATACGTTAAAGGGCTTTAGTACGGCTGAAACTCCAAACAGGCGATCAATAGCTCATCAATTCATGGTAAACCGAACGCAGGCCTGGGAAACTTCTTGGCAGCTAAGTTGATGGCATTGTAGTTTCAAACATAATGTCTAGGATCTCGCGATATTTTTTTTGGTAGCGAGGTTTATAGGCTGGGTATGTACTGCAGATGCCAAGAAGACAAAAATATCAGAGTTTCGTCCTGCTCTCGGCCCAGAAACAGGCCAAGACATGTCCAGTTGCTTGAAGTTTGAATGTGGAAGACGGCTTGGCTATGTTTTAGTGGCGGAATATTCACAGATTGAGGAAACATTTCATCTTCCACTTTAGAGTTATTAATTTCTTAATTCTCTCTTCTTCTTCAACACTACAAACTTCACCAACTCCCCAGACGTCCCCCAGCAACAACTATCCATAATCTAATAAATACATGAAGCCTATGCCCAGCATCCACGATCTTCACCCCCTATCTTGAAATTAATCCTTCAACAAGGGTCGAAGGAATCAACTACCCCTCATCATTTAAGTAGTGCCAGTGAAGTCAACAGCGGTGGCAGTTTGTCCTGCGGCTGCGACATCCAGAGCAATGTTTTTGTCGAGCTTGGTTTGTTCGGCGGCAAGCTTGGTAGCATCACCATTCCCTTGAGCTTCCTCAATTTGGAGGCCAAGCACGGTGGCGGTGAGCTTGAGGACCTTGTTCTTTATTTTGCCGTTCTAGATTGGTGTTAGTAAAGCACTTTTGAGAAGTTATTACGGAAACTTACTTGCAACTCATCAGCGGCAGTTCCAGTCGCGGCATCGATAGCAGGGTTGAAAGCCTGAACTTCAGCATCTTCAGCAACATCGTGAGTGTTCTTGATGATCTTGAGGTCAGCAGCAGAGACCGAAGCCAGATTGGCAGTGTCAATGGCACTGAAGAGAGCGAGAGCTTCCGCCTTTGCGTCTCCAGCAACTCCACCGGAAATCGAGATATCGTTGTACGCTTGAGAAGTCAAGACATTCCCCCCAGTGGCAGCGGTTGCTCCAGTTGCTGCCTTGGTGGCCTTCGCGGTTGTTGCTGCTGCGGTGCTGGTTGCGGTCTTCTTGGCTGGCATGGGTGAAGCAATGACGCTGCTAGCAGCCAAGAAAAGCGTAAGGAAGGTTGTGGAGAACTGCATTTTGAAGTATTGGCTGTCGAAGCTGAAAAAGTGCAAGGTAGAGAAAGTGGTTGTTCTGATCGAAAGTTTGAAAGTTGAAGGAATGAAGATAATCGATCAGCACAGCTGGTATCGACAATAGAAGTGAAGAGCAATAGAACTAATGGTAAAGAGTGATTAGAAAAGACAGTGTTGCTGAGGAAAGAATAACCAAGAGGGAAACAAGAAGATCTTATAGATGTCAAAAAGCAAATAAGATGAGGAACAGAACGGAAAGCTCGTATCTGATTTGGCCCACTCCACTACACCATCTCATCTTGAGATGCGTCAAACACACATTCGAGCCGCACGATATGGTTGGCATCTTGGCTGATGTTGGAACGGTACCAAAGGGGGTGATTGAGACGCCAAGTTGACTTGGCGATGGTGGAATCGGATGGTTGCTGCGTGAAGCGGGTACAACCCATGGATCCGGCAAAAAGCCCTCGACTAAGCCAATTTGTGAAGGGCTTAGAGCAGCTGCCAAAGCCGTTGCCAATTAACCTTATCTCTGCATCTCTTAGCTTTTTGAGGCTATCACAACGTTCAAAATACAGCACTTTTCGTGACTTCAGAAGATGTCAACACAGCTTCTCCGCATTTGTTGCATTATTGCTCATCTTCGTCTGATGTCCTGATCTCCACTCAAGGGTCTGAAAAGATCCTCCAAACTATGAAACTACAGCAAACTGCCTCAGAGAAACCTTCGTGGCCACCTGGCCAGCGTCACTGCGCAAACCACCAGATGCGGTGTGAACAGCGAGATCGTGCGCTTAACGGTCTATAAAATGGGGTTGTTATTGGTGGAAATCCAACTGTGGAGTTCTAGAATGGTTTTGTTCCATCTAACGAGGGGGTTCCGTCTGATCGCCGCCCAGTGAAATCAGATCCGGGAACCGAATGCCAAGGGGTTTCGATTCTGGTAGCGAGGATGAAAAGGGATAGTTGAGGGTGGAGAGAACTCACCAAAAGAGACACCACTGCAATCACGGATGTCACTTTTGAAATTGACAGCAGGAGAATAGGAGATGCCGTTGGCCAAGCTAAATGAGGTGCAAAGAACTGTTGTTAGATTCGGGATACAGAAATTCATTTTCCGCCCATGGTTTATCCGATGATTTCAAACACATGCCAAGAATTTATAAATATACACAAAATGCACGACTTCATGAAGGGGTCTTACCAAACACCACAAATACCAGAACATCATCCCATGATTTAATGCAACTCACCATCAAACATTTCATTTCTACCGCTGACCATTAACACCTTTCTCGTGATCTACCATCATGCTTTCAATGCCATGTACTTTGACGATGCCTTCCTCAGGTTGACCACATCGGCATCGAGATTCGCATCAAGGTTCTTATTCTCAAAATATGCCAGTAGCCTCTTTACCAAATCACGCACTTGTCTTTGAACATGAATATATCCCTATTTTCTCAAAACAGCCGAATCGAGATCTTCCAATGCACGATCGGAGGTCTTGGGATAGAACAGGTAAGCAGTTAGTACAAATGAAGTATTGAAAACCGTCTAGATGATGTTGAATCACCAACCAAATAATTCTAAACCAATTGAAGTAATCCCAATAACTATGAAATAAAAATCCAGTTAGCCGTAGTACCTAGTGCTCTACCTTTAGTTTTAATAGAAAGAGTGCTGATCTCTGTAGGGTAGAGCTTCCACGCCCCCGTTAATTGATGTCGTAAGCGACAGAGTAGAGGAAGGAGAAAGCTACCGAGGCAGAGACCACTTGTTTTTGGTACCTCTACCCTTCCATCTCAGAGTAACGTATAAAAGCTGTGATAGAAACGCAACAAAAGCTTGGCCTGCAGCAGCATACGTCATAAGATTTCTTCAGCCCCAGCGTTCAGTATTTGGATAGCGATCCAGCAAAAGAACATTTATGGATCCAAATTCCGGGTAGCCGGGAGCCCCGTAAGACTACTGGAATTTCCAACAGAAGGGATGAGAGTGACTGAAAGGTAGTATGATATGACATTGATACTGCTAAGTTGCATGATTATAGTTCCCATTCCGAGTATGAGTCGTCAGATCGTCCATGTCCTTCCCTGATCGCTGGTACTTCCTGAAGTAGATCAACCTAGGGTAACCCATGTTCTCAAATGTAACGACGAATTGAATAATAACCTTTACGTCATTGATTTACTTGCTCATCATTAATTTCCAACCCTTCGAGGGCTATAACGATCTTTCGTCCTTGATCTATATTGCCATATGCTACCAATTAGCCAGGATTCTCTGGGAGCCGAGGAACTGTGGCATAACGAATCAAGAGAAAGACAGCTGAATCCAAGTGGAGTGCTAGGACACGGAGCTGCCGACAAAGAAAAGCCGTAGGTTATCTAGCTGGAGAGAGGACACCTAATGATTTCCCAAATTATTTGGATAACAAAATACCTTTCCTTCCAGCTTTCTTCCACGTTTCCGATTCCCAAACAGGTGTGGTAGAGATATTTGAGCTGTTGCCGATTCTAATAATGATGGACCCTACAATCATTATTGGCAATTTGAAAGCAGCAATTTGCATGATGTCACCCACAATCATAATTGAACTCCCCGGAAGAATTGTATTCCTCCTGCTAACAGAGTCCCCCATCATGACAGCGGCTATAGCCCCAAAGAAAAAAATCAATATCATAGGTTGCCGTAATAGTTCTAGTAATGGACATACCGCCGTTGAGGTCTAACGTACCGGGAATGTCTTTGGTAAGGATAATACCACCTGCAGAAAGTTGTTCGTGAAAGCTCAGGGTTGTACTGCAGAAGAACGAGCCAAATTCACTCAAGCCATAGCCAAATGGTGTCATATTAGTAGGGTAGGCTACAGTGTTCTAGGCGGTTAACTAGCCACCACTCGTACCAAAATAAGGGACCTTTCTATAACAAGTGACATGAGACTTATTTATACAGAGAGTAACGCTGTGAAGGAATTTTAGGCTACAGATATTGCCAGGATGAAAACCAATGGATACACAATTTCCAAGGAACAAGTTATTTTCATATATAAGGTCGACCTTTTTTGCTGATACAACAATCGCCCATACCATAAGTGCCAACATATCTCGATCATTCATCTCTTGGCATCAGGTAAAGGTATCGGATAGTAAACACCGCCTGTCGGAATTCGATTTGACATGTCTTCAACATCTGAATTACATCTAGCCTCTGCGGACAAGCAACATAAAGCTGCAATAATAAGGCTCTATGAATGGAGCAGAGAAACCTTGGGTCTTGTACACGATTTCTCATCCTTGCAGATAAGATATACTCTGTTCGGGAGAACAATAGAGAGGTGGCGGCTC